AAAGTTCACAAACTTTACATGTGACATTCATCAGCATCTTTGCTTCATTTTCTGTTAGCAGAGTTGATTAAATATTTTATTTATCCTACATTTACAAAACTTATTCATGTTCATGCAGATCAAAACTAAATTATGTAAATGTTTCACTTCCTCAATCAAGTTGTTTTTTTGTCAGAGCTATTATTGTTGTGTGAAACTGCAGAGCATAGTTTTCAGGTAGTCTGCATTTTCAACTGCATGAAATGTGATGTAAAGCTTGTATGATTTATAATAAACGGGCTGAAACTTTGGTGTGGTCCTAAACTGAATCTACTGTATGTCCCTGCTGATCTCAAAGGTGATTATCTGTACAGATGGGAAGGCAAACACAGATTTAGGGAATCTGGAGGTGGAGGAGGATGATGCTCGCACCCTCCTCTCGTCCACCATCTTCTACCAGGAGCTGGGGGAATATGCTGCTAATCAGGGGTTGGTACACATGCCTTATTGATGTCAACAGTGGGAACATGTGTTTAAGCATATTATAGTGCTGTACAAACAGTGAGTGAACATAGTACATGCAAAGCAACCTTTTATATATTTAAATTACTGTTACTACTTCAACAAAAGTACACTCAAAAACATTTCAAGCTGGTTCAATTTAGAAACGCAGGTTCCCCTGCTGCCTTGAAAACGTGAGTAATCTCAAGTTAAGTTCAATGTTTTGTGAGTTTTGAAAATGTTAAACTAGCACAGCTAAGTTAAGTGAACTTAAGAAAACAAGCTGAATCAACTAGTACCCAAGGCAGTATAAACAAAGGCTGCTCCCAGTGACTTTGTCAGATACTGCAGGTAGTGACTGAATTCAGTAACAACCTTCATCATGGATTGCATCATTATAGTTATTATGAAAAGAAACAACCATGATTTTATTTTGTATGTATTGCAAACATAAATAAAGTTCCCACCATGAATGGGCTCTTGAAAATACAAAAAGGTTTTATCATTACAGCAAGGCAAACGTACATATTGACATCATGTTAACAAGAAAAGCTTAGTTGATTCGACTCACCAACTGTTGTTGCTCAGCTGATCTAGATGTACTGTGATGAACGTCATGCTGAAATATCCTTCTTCCATTAGTGTGACAGTGTCTGTGCTGTCCATAGAGGGAACAGACTGCAGGCTAGATGAGCTGGGAAGACTCGCCGATCGCACTGGAGGGAAAGTAAGAGATAGTGTGAAGCTATGTTGCATGTTGTCTGTTTAAACAACTGTATCAATATTTTTTATTACAGTATGTACAATATATCAGTCACCTTGCATCTATAATGCCATCTGTGTATTGTCTCTTCTCCTCTAGGTGGTAATAGCAAGTCCCAACAGGCTGCACCCAGAGTTTGAACAGATCATTGAGAACAGAACCATAGCTACACACTGTACTGTAACACTAATGCTGCCCAAATCACTGTAAGAGCAGCACTGCATATCAATATTGTACCTTAAATACTAGTATGTCTAAATACCTCTTAGTCTAGTTTCTTGGCACTTTGAATTACATTAACAACAGGGTCCATAGCATTGAGTCATGGTCTCCTTTGCTGCAGGCGTTTGAGAGGAGAGAGGGAGGCAGGACATAAAGGGACCAGAGTGGTGGGGAACGTGAACCCTGACACAGAGATCACCCTCCAGTTTGGAGCCAATGAAGGAGTTGCAGAGGGTGAGAAACAAAATGTTATGTCACCACTGACAGTGCTGGGTTTTTTAGCTTGCCAGTTTTACTTGCAGATCTACTGCCTCTCTCAGGAATATCACAGGTGGGGGTGTGATGTGCTGCCAGGTTTTGCAGGATGTGATTACCACTGATGCCAACCTAAATAAATAAATACATACATACATACATACTGAAGTCTCAATCTGAGATCACTCAGAGAGAAAAATGCCTTGTCATTATATCTGAAAACTACAGCTAACAAAGGTGGATTGAGAAAAGACTTGGTCTAGTAACAAAGCTTCTGGTGAGGATGGAATATGCACATCTGGATGCACATGTCACACTACCTGTGATTTTTTTTCTAAAAAATGGTGATACCTTATGCAGCAACTGCCAAGGTAAACAAAGAAATAGTTTCCATGAAACCAAGACCAAATTAACTTTCTGGCTGCTTTAGCACCACACCTTCAGGGATAGCAGTGACAGTCAGTTCATCCTCCACTTTGACCCGGACTGACATATCTTAATAACTGGATGGATTAAGACGAAATGCTGCACTGACGTTAACGGTGCCGACAACATGCAACCTATTGACTTTGGAGAGCCCTTGACATCTCCTCTAGTACCAACTTGAGGGTGACACTTGTGGTTTACAGGGAAATACCTTGAGTGTTTTTGGAGTACAGATGAAGTACACACCACATTTACTATGTCCAAAATGCACTGTGTACTTCATCTGTACTCCAAAAACACTCAAACAGTTTAAGAAACTCAAAACCTTCTTGATTTATACTTGTCTTTTTTGTGCCTTTTTTGTGTGTAGTCTCACCACCGTCCTCTGGTAGCCGTGTGTCTGTCCAGCTGCAGATCAGGTACAGGCAGCGGAACGGACAGACAATGCTCAGAGTCATAACTTCAGAACGAGATGTTACCCATGACAGGTGATATTTTAATCACAATGCTTCTTCCACCTTAATGTTTTGAGATCTCCTCACACACACACACACACACACACACACACACACACACCACTGTACTGAGCTACCTGCAGCCTCCTTGTAAGCTTAAACAAGTCATTATCTTGTGACATCATTAATCTATGAGGCGTTCTCACCCTGAGGACAACAACTGATTAGATGTTGATGTATCTCAGTGAATATTTATGAAAATCCAGAGAGACCAGCTGTTGCTGTGATACTGGGGCCTTCACATCACACCATGCAAATCACATTCCTCATCCATTTTTAACATTTAGTCACACAGTAAACGAACCTCTCAACTCAATCTGCCTGCTTCATATACTGAATGAAGGTCATGCAATTCATGTGAGCTGTTACACAGTGTGTGTTTGCACAGTAATATAATGGCAAGAGTGAAGATGTAAATGATGAGAAGCGTTCTTATGATAAAAGACTGACCCTCCTTTTCAGTTCAGCGGTCCTGTCCTCTCTGTCTCTGGCCATCATTCAGCTCAACTCGTCACAGGCCAGTGCTGCTCTCGCTGTCAGAGGCCGCTTCCTCGATGCCAGGAGGGAAGGAGAGCTGCAAATGAAGCTGATTGAGAGAGCAATGTGAGTTACAGGAGTGGAGGATTGATTGATGGCAACATTAATGTGTGGGCAACACATACTGTAGAATGAAAGCTAAATTATAGTGAACAGATTCTTTTTATGCTTCTAAGATTGCTATTCTTTTTTCAGATGAATATATAGTTTTTGGTTTGTGACCTGTATTTCTTTTTTCTTAATATAAAATGGCAGTTTTTTTTTCCAAACTGTATTCTTTATAACCAGCAGAGCTTTTTTAGGCTGGTCAATTAGTGCTTCTATCTATTTGCAGAGAGCATAATCGCAGTGCGGAGAACGAACACTTATACCAAGAATGGATTGAAACCATGAAGCCAATATGCAACAATATACACAACTTCACAAGGGTCAGTTGGTTTACTTCTATTAGATTCAATGCCTCACCCTGTCAGTCAACATGTTAACCACTCTGAACCCTGTCTTTTCTAGAAAACAACAGTCATTTCAAACTCACAGGTAATTCATACCATATATACTGCAAAGCACTGGAATACATAGTACACTGCCCTTTTGCTGAACTCATTCTGATCATTCTTCTCCTCCACCAGTTTCTAACAGATGCTGGTGCAGCTCTGTTTTACACCATGAAGCACAGCAACAGGACGTCTATCTCAACGAGGAATAAATATAAAGTCTAGCCTACTGTCAGGCTCCACCTTTAATTTTGCTGGAAGCAGCTCAAGTCATGAATGACTAACATAAACACTGATGTTTGACTTGACTCTCTTTAACTCTGGCTGAATAAATATCCTTCCAATATTTCATAATATAAATAAGTGATTTTTTGTAAATATGTTCCAGTTCGCTACAGTGCAGCTTTGCAAACGTTTTAGCTGCATGTCCTCATTTGTCTTACAAATAAAAATCCCACAGCGTGCACCTAATTCCATCAGTCTCATATACATTTACATTATGGCTTTCCATGATTTTATTGTGAAAGTGTTCACAAATGTCACAGCAGACATCCACATCTCTATTTGTGTGTGTTGATTGAAGTTGTTCAAATCAACTTCACAGTAAAACCATTAATAATAAGAATAAATTGTACCAAATGAAAGAGCTTGTCTTTAGGAGTTGGAGCCTTCTAATGGAATACTACAGTATCACGCTCACTTTGTGTTCAGCCTCTATGGGAGTACGAACTGTTACTGTGAAACTGAGCTGGTATTGAACACAAAGGCACAAAAACATTCAAACTTTTTACACATTTTTATTGGTATAAAAATGTTATTCCTCTGAACATTTTGTGAATTCCTCTCATTTTTTTTGTACTTGACATTTTTTATACCATTAATAATGATTACACCATAAAACAGTTACAACAAATGTAAGAGTTTAAGACAAGCTGTAATAAAAAAAAAAGAATTATAAAAACATGTTTACCAGAAATCACAACATTTTACAGTGACTGGCATATGCAGTATGTTTACACACCACTTTGTATGAAGAGATTACAACCGATTAGACAATTTCATAGTAGGCTACTTACTGTATCATTCATTATATATTTTAAAAGACGATCATATATAATATCTTACAAATATGGCAATATAAAATGGTGACAAAGTGCTAACAGCTGACATGAAGGACAGTCAATCTGGAGTTTTGTGAAATGCATTTTGAAAAAATAACACTTTTTTTTTTTTTTTTTTAGAAAATGGTGACCCATCTCC